TCAAAAAAAAAAAATTGATTTTTTCAACAAAAAAGTAATTGTAATTTGAAGTTGGAAAAGAGTTTTGGAAAATGTTTTTCTTTAAGTTTTGAAAGGAAGTCATTTTATCTAAATTTGAGGAACATGAGTTGATTTGGAAAACATTTAACCCAACCAAACATGAGAAAATTGAAAAACCTTCATACCAAACACACCCTAAATTACAAACATCCCTGCTAAATATCTCTATACTATGAAAAACAAAATTTGCACTTCCACAAGCACATACAATACCACTTTAAAATATAGCAACTAAGCTGCATATCATATACTGGCCAGTGTATCAAAGTAGTGTCCGAATTTCAGCAGAATACTGCAATGCATGTCGTGCTTGTGCTTATTGCTCTCGTGGTCTGGCGAGCCAAATAGAGCTGAGAGCTCGAAGACCCGAGAAGTATCCACTTATTGCAAGAAGAGCACGGGCTGATTGTCTGGTTGTCAATACGCAATGCATTTGATGCAATGCTCGTTGACGCAGGAGGTCTGCCTGTTAAAAGTGCCAGAGAGATGCAATGACTTTTAGCTTCACGTATTTTGCCTCTAGAAACGACATGAAACAAAACAAGAAAACTCTGAACAAGGAGTTGTTACATCTCATTGCTATGGGGGGAATGAACATGACAGGTTGTCTTGAATCATATAATTCATAAGAGAGATACAAGTATGAGAAGGCCAATTGTTGATTTAAGGACATTGGTGAGCATAACTCTTGGCTTATTTAATGACCTCGTTAAAGGACATAAAAGAGGATGAGGTATCCAGAGACGTCTAGTTCAAAGATCAAGACGTTTTCTTAAGGACATAACAAGCATTCTTGCCCACGACTTCCACATGTTCAAACAACTAAACAAGCATTCACAGCATATCCATGGTAAACAATTCAAACAAAGAATAGGAAACAGCAACAAAAATAGAGTTACCTGATGGAAAAAAGCTTCAAGAGTCGCCAATTTCCCCATAGCCATTTCCATTTGACCCATATATTTAGTAGCTACATTCCCTGATGACCCTTCAGTAAATGGAGATCCGATGGCTAATGTCTCCCCCAAGGATTGCTCCAACGCCTGCATACCTTGTGAGAGAGCATCTTCAGAATTATGGGATGACAGCTGCAAGTTTTCAATGGCTAATAACTGTTGCTCACTCAGAGGCTCTAACTGATTGCCTAGAAGCTGCATTACCAAAGAAATCATTTCACGAAATGAGAAACATACCCAATGTAATCCTACAAGTGGGGTTTGAAGAGGTAATACACATTGCAAAAAGATGAAACAGTCAGTCAACATGGTCCAAAGGTATTCTGTCACCAGAATTCGGAAAAGCTTTTAAAATAAATAAAGACGAGTGCAGAAATCAAAAAATGGATAATGTTAATTTCGTGATAAAACACAAGGAATCAAACAAGTGATGAATTGAAGAAAAATAATCAATGAGTTAGATTTGAAGCAAGAGTAGGTAAGGAGTTTTTATCGAAGAAGGAGCCTTATTTGAAGTAGAACTCTTCAAGTTACTACTGAATTATAGAGTTGGAGTTCGATTACAATACAAAAAGAATCAATAAATTTGATTTGAAGGAGGAGTTTGAATTGAAGAAGAGTCTTACGTGATGTAGAACTCTAAGTCAATGAGGAGTTTGAAGTGAACAATAACTCTATGAAGAATTGTGCCTAAATAGAGGTTAAGTCATCCAGAATACTTGTGCACTTACCGAGTAAAAAAGAGCAATTGAAAAATTGACTTCGCAAGTGCTACCAGCGAACTGAAGGAACACATCGAAAAACATGGTCCTTTTGCAGAGTTAATGTGTTAGGAGTTTTTCTTTGTGATTGAGTCTTGATGTAATTCAGTGAATTATAAATTGAATTAGGCATGTTTAGGAGTGTTGTCTTCAGGTTGTGATAACTCGAAGAGTTGGGAACACATACCTTGGAAGGTTTGTGTTGAAGTTTAGGATTTAGAGTTAGTTCCTAGGATTACAAGAGTTGTAGAAGGTTAGGAATTAGAGTTATTTCCTAGTATTGCAAGAGTAGTAATCTAAATTTGTAACTTAAAGTTAAGGAATTAGAGTTAGTTCCGTAGGTTGCAAAATTTGTAATCTATTTTTTGTGGAGACTCAGTGATTTATTGAAATTGAAGTTAAATCCTGTAGGGGTACAAGACGTGGATTTGTACACCTTTTGAGCCGGGTGTTTTCCACGTAAAAATATTGTGTTCTTATGGTTACGTTGGAACATGTTAGCCAACCTATTTCACTCATAAATTACTAGATCGTGCAAAATAACACACGGCACCTCATTCATTGGGAAAGTGAAACCACCCAATCTTTAGCAAGTATTCTAGATTTTCACAAACATAAATCAATGAAGTTCCACATACTACGAAGAAGTTATTAGTCCAGCTAATAATGGGACCTTTTCATACATGATCAAAAAGTATAACAGCTTTTTACAATCCTATACAGGGGAAGTCTAAATGGGAGATATGGAAGAACTGATGCAAAATTTCCTGCAAATGAGAGCAAGAAGAGGTCACCTTAAGCAGTAAGGAGGGGCGGAAGTCACCAATCCACATAAAACACCGCTCAGCAGGGGTTTTCCACATCCCTGACAAGAGATGCTCTACGTTACCCTTGGCTGTATTTGCTTTCATCCTATAGACCTCATCGTAATGTGCAATGACATTATCCACAATACTTCGCAGTTCAGGATCACTTGCATGTGAATTGACAGCAGTCCTCAATTCATTGATGTGTTTGGTGTGTTCTTCCAACCATCGACTATATTCTGTATCAAATGGTAAGGACCCTGCAGAACGGCAGCATCTGAAAGGTCATCTTAGCACAAGGAAACAACTTTTTGAGTGCAATCAGGAATATGATAAGGGGTTGAACGTCATCCTATTAAGATAAGCCAGTCTAATACAAAGAAAGCCATGTATTAACCTAAATGCATAAAGCTGCAACTGATTTGTTCATCATCTTTATCATAGCAACCATCACTAGTGTGAGAATTATGAAATCGACCAAGTCTATGCACATTGAGAACCTATTGGAAGCTGCAGTTTACTTTGTTCCTCAATTTCAAATTTAACACACAGATGGATTTCACAAGTTATACCATCAGTTAATGGAAAAATCAAGATAACTAAAGTTCTGCAATCTTCTTCAAGCAGAAAAAAAAACACACCATTTCTAGTCTTATTTGCTTACTAAGCACACACCACAAAATAATGTATGTTTGACTGCAAAGTGCAATCTATGGTGGATGCTTTTCTGTCTAGTGAAACCAACTATTCCGGTTCAACCGAACCTTCCTAGAACTACCCAAATCCTGTATAATAAAGATTAATTGCTAAATAACAAGCAACTCCTAGTTCAATTTGGTAGAAGAATCTCATCAATTCCTAGTTTGTTGAAATGAAAAAAAAAAGGAAGCTAGGGCACACAAGTTCAACGACAAAAAAATAGGCCATACCACTTTCGCGCTGTTGAGGTGCTCGCTGAAAGTCCTGCTCCAACTGCGATACCTGGACGATTTGGGCTGGCCGGCGTTCACCCCTCCAAAGTGCAGTGGAGCTCACAAGCCTAGGGCCTTCCCTATCACCCATTGCATCCATTCAGCTAAATATTCTGCATAAAGAGCTCACCCCATGACTTATATATACTAGAGCTTTTTGCTCCACTTTCGTGGGAAGTAGTTGGTGTGAGCCTACAAGTATAATACTACATAATTCAAGATTTGTGTTTGGGGGTCGGAGGTATTATACTGTCTTGAGATTATTTATTCTATCATTTATATCTTAGTAATGGTCTAATGGGATAAGCTATTTCATGCATTGGATAACATATTTCGAAATAGTTAATATTGAGATAACTTGTTCTCAATCAAATTATTCCTTAGGGTCCCCTCACTTCTCGACTAGATCAAAGAGATGAATTCTATTTAGGCAAGTCAAAACTTGGTGTAATATTAGGATAGTAATTATATAATCTAATAATTATGATGATCTATTTATTTGTCACAATGTAATTATAAGTCTACTGTTTAGTTGTATAATTGCAATAATTAGGCTATATTAAATTTTATAAATAAAAGTTAATTATCTAAAATTAAAATTTTATATTAGACAAATAAGACTGTTATAAATTATATTAAATTAAATATTTAAGATATATATTGTCTTTAAAATAATTGATTTATATTTTTAAATTTAGTATATTTTAATTAAATTAATCATAAAAACCGAAAGTACAAGATTATGAACATCATGAAATGCATGTTTGACAGAATATTAATATTATAAATATAATGTCATAAAGTTATTAAAATATTTGACAAAAAAATAATATATCAAGTCTTAACTAAAATATAAATGATCTGCAATGTAAAATATCAAGTCAATACTATTAAAATAAATTAAACTAAAACATATAACATAAGTTCTAAATTCAAAACTAAAAATTTAATATAATACTCTTATGATTTAAAATAAGAGTATTATAACCTTATTCAACAATAAATTATACTTTAATTTAAAAATTAGAATACTAACAAAATTATGCTAATTAAAAAAATAGATAAGATTGGAGGCTCTTACTTTTGGAAAGTCCGAGCAACACTACCTAAATTACATGCCTAAATCGGTTTATAGGCCCAATCTTCTTCATGACATGTCTTTAATTATGGAATTTTAAGCTTGAAGGCTCTTACTTTGGAGAGTCCGAGCAACACAACCTAAATTACATGCCTAAATCGGTCTATAGGCCCAATCTTCTTAATGACATGTCTTTATATCTGGAATTTTAAGCTTGGAGCCTCTTACTTTGGAGAGTCCGATGAACACAACCTAAGTTACATGCCTAACCGGTCTATAGGCCCAAACTTCTTCATGACATGTCTTTATTTCCGGAATTTTAAGCTTGGAATGGAGGCTCTTACTTTGGAGAGTCCGAGCAACACAACCAAAATTACATGCCTAAATCGGTCTATGGGCCCAAACTTCTTCATGACATGTATTTATTTCCAGAATTTTAAGCTCCTACTTTCCCTATGATGTACATAGCTGATCAAGAAGTTCACCTTGTTGAAAGTGTATGACCATCACATTGCGCCATGCCATTTACGAGATTGCAGCAACATTCTTTTCCATTGCTGCAACTTCTCTATGCTATTTTTGACCTCAATATGCGCATTTCAAACTTGTTATACCTTCATTGGTGTGTGTTTTGTGATATCATCTGGTCACAATATCAGTGGAAATAGAGCATACACCAGAGTTGATTTTCCTGTCGTCAAGCTCTTACCAGATAATTTTGGGCTTAGATTGATAGGGGCCGCGCGAACGCAGGCCCCCACTGCAACAAATTATGACATAGGCTCGACCACTTGGGTCGACCTTAGGCAGGCACCCCTCCAAAGTGCAATGGAGGTCACAAGCCTAGGCCATGGGTCTTATTGATCGCCCATTGACCCCGTCCAGGTAAGTATGTTTTTCAGTTAGCTCAGCCAATTATTAGTACTTCTGCTTCTGTTCCACATTTCTCTTAACTTCTGATGTGGGAGAATAACTTATTACTCTTTATAGCTTTCTGTTTGGAGATTGTAAAAGAAAATCAGTGTAATGGATACAATTTGTTTCTCTTTGAATACAAGAACTAAAGAAAATAATTTCCTTCCTTATCAAACAAGCTGTTAGAGAACAGTTCTTCAGATACATTTCCATATGTACCTCGGACTTTTCATCAACAACATTGAAAGGTGCGTGTAGAATCCTCCAAAAGTACTGCATTTTTGGAGGATTCGATACGAGTGCAGCAACATTTTTGGAGAGTCCGAGCAATGTAGCCTAAAGTGTATCAGACCTGAACCAATCTATGTATAGGCTCCAATCTGCTTCATGACATGTCTTTATTTCTGGAAATTGTAAGGTCTAAGGCTCTTACTTTATATATGATGCACTCAGCTCATATCGACACATAATATTATATAGACGATCTACAACATCAGTGTAAAACTACACTTCAATAGCTTCATCTTTATCCTTGAGGTTCTGATACTTCTCATGACGAGCTTCGGGTAAAACTACAACATCTTTGGCTCTTCCTGAAGCACATCATATAGAGTCTTCTCACGAAACTTTAAGTGTAACTAGTATTTATTCAAAACATCAAGATGTCACTATAATTTCTGAGTCATCTCGTTTCTCAAAAATGATTCTAGTATCTCAAAAGGAATTATTTTATTATACTTGAAAAGAAATATTATTTTATGTCAATATAGTTGTTATCTTTATTTTCATATATTCTAATATTGGCAGCTATATCTCAATATTTATTAGCCTATTTACTCCTCCTTTAATCACCCATTGTGCCGTTGGTAGCTCATTAATGTGGCAATTGAATATTGCCATAATGTTGTTCATATGAGATGATCATCTGTTTCCACTATATATTCTATTATCTAATCTTTCTTATGTGGTGATATATTGAGAGCAAGAGAAATTTCTTCCTTCTCTTTTTTATTCTATTGTGTTGAGTTTTTGTTTTAAAGAATCTTTGTTAGTTTCTGGCTCTCCTAGAATTATACTAGAAGATCTTGTTGAATCTTGTGGATACACCCATACCGGATGAAACATCCTTGTTCGTGGTGAAGTATAAGCTTTGGTGAATTCCGTACAAATATTCGTCCAGAAGGTATTTTCCGCAAGATTTACAACACTTCTGCCTTTGCAACATGCTCTGCTATTAAAAGAATATAAAGGAAGGATATCAATTAATTCTTAAATGCCGATATAAATTGACATTTGCTATGCCAACTTGTATTCTACACAAATGGCACCTTTGTCACATTTACAATTAAAAAAGTACCCAGAGTTTTTTTTCTCTAAAAATTTTTATCTTAGGATTGGGTAGGGGCTGCGCGAACGCAATCCCCCGCTGCAACAAATTATGACGCAGGCTCGACCACTTGGGCCGACCTTAGGCAGGCACCCCTCCAAAGTGCAATGGAGGTCACAAGCCTAGGCCATGAGTCTTATTGATCACCCATTGACCCCGTCCAGGTAAGTATGTTTTCCGGTGAGCTCAGCCCATTATTAATACTACTGCTTTTGCTCCACTTCTCTCTCTTAGATGCTGATGTGGGAGAATTAGTGGATATGGCGTTACTCTCTCTAGCATTCTGTTTTGAAATAGAAAAAGAAAACTACAAGGAGTATAAAATGTGTCTTAACTTTACTGAATTTGTTTTGGTAAAAACACAGCAATAAAGGATGGAAATGTACAAAATCATAGACAGGCGTTATCATTGAGACCAAAACAACACTAACTCCGTCAAATAACAGAAGACCTGACACTTGATTTTTGAAATGAAATCACTCATCTTAGATTTTGGTGATGTAGTCAAAATAGTAGCAAAATTTCTCCTTGTCCCACATCGGCAAAACACTGATCTGGAGAATGCTACTTAAGTGAAGAAACTGAGTAGAATGGGCCCGACCTTACTTGAACAAGATCTGTTCTATAGATACCACTGTATCTTTGATTTCTAAGGAGATAGAAAACCAAGTCTGGTGGATGATTCGTAGCCATTAGACCAGAGCGTGATTAATAGCTTCCATGATCCTCGGGTCATGGTGCCATAGATGATTGTTCTTAACCTCGATCATGGGTGTTGAGATGGTTTAATGGTTGTCTGACAGACTTCAAAACATTTTTTCCTGTTATGGAATTTCCCAGCTCTGTTTTTTTAAACTAAGCAAGGCTTCCATGGCTGCTAATTGCTATAATCACTAGAAATCTACTTTTGGTTTTCTCAATTTCAAAGAATTAATTTTTGATCTACCATATTTATTCTTCTCTTTTGCATTGATCAACTTTGTAAAAGTGTGGCATATATACCCGTCGCCTCTATTTACTTATCAAATATTATTTCTCCTTTTACTTGCTATTTTTGACAACTTTCTTTTTTATACTCTCAATTTATGAATATTGAGTTAATAATGTCTTTGAAAAATATAGTAAATAAATATGTTTGGAACCTATCCATTAATAAGAGTGAAATGATGACCTCACTATATCAATCATTGTTTTATTATTAGGTGTGTCGAGTCAAAATTTGACAAATAAGCAAGGACAGAAGGAGTATATAAGTTTAATCACAGTGTACGACAGCCACAATCACAAAGAAAAAGTAGAGATGACTCGCGAACGAAGTTAGATCCAGCTTAATTAAGCGAAGTTAGTTTTCTAAGGGAAATTTTTACTTTGGTTTGGTAGGGGCCGCGCGAACGCAGGCCCCCGCTGTAACAAATTATGACGTAGGCTCGACCACTTGGGCCGACCTTAGGCAGGCACCCCTCCAAAGTGCAATGTAGGTCACAAGCCTAGGCCATGGGTCTTATTGATCGCCCATTGACCCCGTCCAGGTAAGTATGTAATCCAGATAGCTCAGCCCATTATTAATACTACTGCTTTTGCTCCACTTCTCTCTCAGATACTGATGTGGGAGAATTAGTCGAAATGGCGTTACTCTCTTTAGCATTCTGTTTTGAAATAGAAAAAGAAAATTAACAGATAACAAAAAGTTCATGCTCCCGACGCTGACATTCTCTCCAGCATAGATAACAAAAAGTTAGTCACTAGTAACATAACTGAAGAGTGTTGTCTTAATTAAACAAGGCAAGTTCTATAAGAAAGGATGAATTTTTGATAACATATATAATACACACATTCTTATATAGCATCACCAGCTTCCTCAGGTCATGTTAGTTTTCAACTTCTTCAGTCTTATGTCAGGTTGATTTTGTTCAGAATCTTATTATGTCCCTTCAACAAGAGTCTAGAAGCTTACATGAAAATGTATACAGTAGCAGCTAATAGGAGTGTTGACTGTATAGTCATTGATCTTACAAACCGAAGGACCATAAGCAAACCGGCCATACCCTTATCTGTTTCAGCAGATCTTGGTTTTGTATCGATCAGCCAAAGAAACTCTTGCCAATGCCATATAAACAGTTATTGTAGTAAACCAATTTCTTTAGAAGTAAGTCATCTAGAGCTTAGCAATCTGTAACTAGTCTTTCAAACAGGTATTAATTTTTAGACTAATGGCCTTTGCCAAACTTAAGAAAATGCAGCACAAACTCTTGGAATCATCCACAAGATGTATTGCAGCCACCTCGTTGATTAACTTATTGAATGGTTATGGCAAAAAAACACAGCAATTGAGTTCTCCGAGTAATCAATAACATACACAACACGCTAAACTAACCAGCAGCAAAATGGCACCAGTTGATAATTGTAAGGTTCATTTAAAAAGGCATAAACATTTAAGAGTTTCATGTGATTTGCAACATTTAGAGTTCTATAATTATGAACTACATGATACAAATATTATATATAATCATTTCATCATTCTCATCCACAATGATATGGCGAAGGATGTATAAACAAGGTTGAATATAGAGCTGTAGAGTAAGCAAATTGTGAATGTTGAAAGGACGAATTATATTACCGCGCCTCTATAGAGATACAAGCAAAATAAGTGTCTTACTCTTCTTTGACAACAAGGCTTGGAAGCATACAAAATCATACACAGGAGTACCTTGCTTTCAAGAAGAGCTTAATTTTGTTTCTTTTTTTAAAGCTGCTCATCCATTTTCTGCATCTCATCATTGGCTGAAACAAAAAGAAAAAAAAAATCATATTAATAAAATAGTAGCAAAATTTCTCCTTGTCCCACATCGGCAAAACACTGATCTGGAGAATGCTACTTAAGTGAAGAAACTGAGTAGAATGGGCCCGACCTTACTTGAACAAGATCTGTTCTATAGATACCACTGTATCTTTGATTTCTAAGGAGATAGAAAACCAAGTCTGGTGGATGAATTGTGGCCATTAGACCAGAGCATGATTAACAACAATCATGGCCTTTCAGGGTCCTCCATGGTGCCGTAGATGATCGTTCTCAGCTCCCGATCATGGAGCTTGGGATGATCTAATGGCTATCTGACAGACTTCAAAACTTTTTTTGCATCGTGGCCATTAGACCAGAGCGTGATTAACAACAACCATGACATTTGGGTCATGGTGCCATAGATGATCGTTCTCAGCTCCGATCATGGAGCTTGGGATGGTCTGACGGCTATTTGACAGACTTCAAAACTTTTTTTGCTGTGCTGAGGACTTTCCATGGTTGTTGGGCACAGAGTAGCTGAGATAGTTGAAATTTGAGCAAATCGAAAAAATAGTTGTATTGGAATTTCTTTATATGGTTTTAAGTACTTTAAAGTTATTATATATTGTGATTTATATGAATTTTTAATTTATAAAATTTTATGTCCGAAATCATGATCGGAGTTTCTCAAAATCTTACGAGATTTTTTATCTTTTCAAAATTTTATATGAGAATTTTTACGTATAAGTTCTTTCATATATTTTTTTTTATGGGTGATTCAAGCATAATTGAAAAAATGAAAAGTGTAAGGGGTCGTTTAATAGAGTGTATTAACAAAAATAATGTATGCATTAGTTTTATATATTAACAGTTCCTTGTTTGGTATACTTTTTTAGGTATTAGTAATGCGAAGGGATTTAACAGATGCATTAGCATGGTTAAAGACTTAATTACCCCTCAAAAGCACTTTTACATCTAATCTACCATAATTGTGAAGGATATTTTTGTAAATAATTTTTTTTTACAATACATATTATTTTTAATTCACCAAACCAAAAATACATAAAAAACAATCTAATACAAACATTACTAATACACTCTATTGAACATTTTATTTAGACTCTACTAAACGACCCGTAAGGCATTCACTTTTTAAGTTAAGGGTGTTGCCACATTAAAACATGCTTAAAAATATGACATAAGTTTTAATTAACTCTTTATTTTATGTTACCATCATTCATCCCTTATTGGAATTTTATATTTTTACCAGACTTAACAATTGTTCATTGTTTATTTGAAATTCAGATGAGCTAAACAAGTTTTGGGCTTAGATTTGGGCAGGGGCCGCGCGAACGCAGGCCCCCACAGCAACAAATTATGACATAGGCTCGACCACTTAGGTCGACCTTAGGCAGGCACCCCTCCAAAGTGCAATGGAGGTCACAAGCCTAGGCCATGGGTCTTATTGATCGCCCATTGACCCCGTCCAGGTAAGTATGTTCTCCAGTCTGCTCAGCCCATTACTTACTGCTGCTTTTGCTTCACTTCTCTCTCTTAGATGCTGATGTGGGACAAAATTCATGAGAAATACATCATTCTAATAAGTTTTTTTTTTTTTTTTTTTTCTATTTAATGGATTGTATCTTTGATTGACTGAGTACTTACACCTTGTTTGAATAATAGTTATATATATTTCGATAATATATTGTATCGTATTATTTTGATAAATGTAATATTTGAATAAAGTGTCGTTCTTCATCGTTACATAATATCACACATCGACAATTTAAAAGAACTTGTTACAGTATTTTTCTAAAATAAGAAGAAAAAAAACTAGTAACCTACATGTTTTAATCTTCAAAATGGTTCAAATTGACCTTGAAATGTAGAGTATGACATTTCTAATTCAGAAAACAGGAGTATAAAGAAGAAGAAAACGAAAAATATCAGCATATTCATCCATATTTTTCCATAAATTGGTGTATTTAGATTTTATGGAAGATAAATAACAACAGATATTAACATTTCTTGCAGAAATATACAAGGGAAAAAATTATAAAATGCTTGTTATATTTCCAACATATCAGAAGAGAAACTTTTAAGTCACAAGCTATAATTTGTTTAAGCATAAAACTTTCTAAATATCTATTACACTTCTTAATATCCCTAACCACACTTTTTCCTTGTAAAAGCTAAAAACACAGGTACATTATTGGTTCCTAAGTCACACAGTAAAATTTTGGCATTCTAAAAACCTAATGAGAAAGAAAACAAATTTTGCACTTCCACAAGCACATACAATACCACTTTACATATAGTAACTTAGTTGGATCTCATATACTGGACAGTGTATCGAAGTAGTATATCTGAGTTTCAGTAGAATATTGCAATGCATGTCATACTTATTGCTCTCGTGGTCTGGCAAGCCAAAGAGAGCTGAGAGCTCGAAGACGTGAGAAGTATTCACTTATTGCAAGTAGAGCACGGGCTGATTGTCTGGTTGTCAATATGCGATGCATTTGTTGCAATGTTTGTTGACGCAGGTTGTCCGCCTGTTAAAAGAGCCAGAAAGATGCAAAGACTTTTAGCTTCACGTATTTTGCCTCCAGAGACAACATAAAACTAATATAACAAACCAGAAATCTCTGAACATGACTGGCTGTCTTGAATCATATAATTCACAAGAGAGATACAAGTATGAGACAGAAGGAGAATTATTGATTTAAGAATGTATTGGCGAACATAACCCTTCGGTTATTTTATGACCTCATTAAAGGACATAAAAGGACAAAGTATCCAGACTTTTTTTCCAAAGATCAATACAAACAAGACGTATTCTGAAGATTCTGTGGGCAATGCATGCTGGTTGCAGTTACAAAGACCTCCAGAACAACATTTGCTTGCCCCCGACTTCCACATGTTCAAACAACTGAACGAGCATTTGCAGCTTATCTATTGTAAACAATTTAAACAAACAAAGAATAGGAAGCAGCAGCAAAAATAGAGTTACCTGACGGAGAAAACCTTCAAGGGTCCCTAATATCCCCATAGCCATTGCCATCTGACTTATATTATAAGCTGCATCTCCTGATGACCCTTCAGTAGCAAGAGATCCGTAAGCTAATGTCTCCTCCAAGGATTGCTGCCACGCCTCCATAGCTTCTGAAAGACCATATTCTGCATGTTGGGATGACTGCTGCAAGATGCCAATGCCCATAAGCTGTTGGTCGGTCAGAGGCTCCAACTGATTGACTAGAAGCTGCATTACCAAAGAAATCATTTCACGAAAAATGAGACACAACATACCCAGTGTAATCCCACAAGTGGAGTCAAGAAAGGAGAGGGTAGGACATACGCAGACCTTACCCCTACCTTTGTGGGTAGAGAGGTTGTTTATGATACTTGATAGACCCTCGGCTCGAAGGAAAAGAAAAGAATTTGAAGTATGGTAGCAACAAAATAGCAAGGTACAGAGCAAATGACGAAAAGGAATAGCAAAAGTTAGGAATACACATTAAAGTAAAGGAAACTACATGATTACTAAATAATACTACTAATGAGGAGAAGCGTAGAGGAGGCTAGGCCCTGCCTTTCCCACACAAAGTGCGACAACACTCCGCTACCTACTAAGCTGAAGTTGTGTCATGTCTCGTCTTTATCACCTCCCCAGTTCTTCCTCGGCCTACCTCTCCCTCTCCTAACTCCTGTTACAATCAATCTCCCACACTCCCTTACTGGCGCATCCATGCACTGCATAATTGGATATAAAGAAACTCATACACAGAAGGGTGTTATCTACAGAAGCAACTTGAAGTTCTTAAATTATCAACATCTGATTGACGCATGAACAAATGACACAAGAACAGAAGAAAATATAATGTACAGCACTGATATAATTCCTGCACAAACATCCGTAAACGGACAGAGTGAAAGCATATTAACATCAGATAAAACTGGAAGTCTGCTAACATCACCAAGCTGAAGAAGCTCAGGAAACCACATCCGGGATGGATAAAGATAATCACACAATTTCATCCAAGTTTTTGCTTCTAGGCATCAGGTTTGTTTAGAGTTGCTATTATGCAGTGAACACAAGAAGAAAACCAAAAGCTTCAGTACAATAAATGTAAGTCCATGCCATTTGAAGGAGAATGTCAGACCTTAACTATCCAAGGTCACGAGACTACAGTGATGGTGTTATAGAAGATAGTGACATAAAAATGCAATTGTACACTACAAGCACAAGGCACCTCATTAGTTCGGAAAGTGAAACCACCCAATCTTTAGCAAGTAAATTTTCACAAGCATAAATCAATGAAATTCCATACTACTAAGAACTTATTAGTCCTGCTAACAACAGGACCTTTTCATACATGATAAAACTTGAAAATTAAAACTTGAATAACAAATAAACAATTAAAACTTGGTAAGAATCAAGTGAGGTAGGTCTTGACCCACCGAAGTAATTTTTGGACGGATCAATAACCCACCGATTTATCAACTCAACTCATTTTGATCGGTCTAAATTCAGCTCAATCCACCAATTTGTCACATGTACTCTTTGTATTCCAAAAAATATGTTTCAGTCATTATTATCTCACATATATTATGATATTTAATAAGTAAACAAAAAAAAATATTATTCAAGAAAATATATATGGTATTTTATATGGATATTATATATGTTGCTAATGAATTATAAATATAATGGAACAGGTTTTACAGAGACAAGTAAGGGGTGTTGTGGGACAGGAACAGTAGAGTATGGAGAGAGTTGTAAGGGGTTGAAAACTTGTGGTGATCGAACAAAGTTTGTGTTCTGGGACGCTGTTCATCCTTCTGAGAAAATGCATAAGATTATGGCTAATGAAGCTCTTAAAGCTATTAATGTTGATTTACTCGACTAATAATCATCTTTTTCTTTTTAATCATTTTGTTAATTATTGTTACTTGTTTCCTACCAATAGTTTGTAGTCATCTTTTCCTCTATGCTTTGTGCCTTAATTATTCGAGATTAATTAGCATGTACAGAAGTTAGCTTATGCTATTGGAAACTAAAGACGCTGAGGAAACCTCATCCGGGATGACAAGAGATAATAACCACACAATTTTATCCAAGCTTTTGCTTCTAGGAATCAGGTTTGTTTAGGATGCTATTATGCAGTGGATGCAAGAAGAAAAGCAAGAGCTTCAACACAATAATTGTAGGTATGTCCCATTTGAAGGAGAATCTCAACCCTTAACTATCCAAGGTCACGAGACTACAGTGATGGTGTTATAGAAGATAGTGACATGAATATGCAATTGTACAATGCATGGCACCTCATTCATTCGGAAAGTGAAACCACCCAATCTTTAGCAAGTATTCTAGATTTTCACAAACATAAATCAATGAAGTTCCACATAGTACTAAGAAGTTATTAGTCCTGCTAATAATGGGACCTTTTCATACATGATCAAAAAGTATAACAGCTTTTTATAATCATATACAGGGGAAGTCTAGATGGGATATATGGAAGAACGGATGCAAAATTGCACGGAAATGAGAGCAAGAAGAGGTCACCTTAAGCAGTAACGAGGGGCGGAAGCCACCAATCCACATACAACAACGCTCAGCAGGGGTTTTCCACATGCCTGACAAGACATGGACTACGTCCGCCTTGGCTGCATTTCCTTTCATCCTAAAGACCTCATGGTAATGTGCAGTGACAATATCCACAATACTTCGCAGTTCAGGATCACTTGCATGTGAATTGACAGCGGTCCTTAACTCATTGATGTGTTCGTTGTATTCTTCTAACCATCGAATATATTCTGTATCAAATGCTACGGGCCCTGCAGAACGGTAGCATCTGAAAGGTCATCTTAGCACAAGGAAACAACTTTTTGAGTGCAATCAGGAATACGATAAGGGGTTGAACGTCATCTTATTAAGATAAGCCAGTCTAATACAAAAAAAAAGTGATGTATTAAACTAAATGCATAAAGCAGCAACTGATTTGTCCATCATCTTTATCATAGCAACCATCACAAGTGTGAGAATTATGAACATCAACCAAGTCCATGCACATTGAGGACCTATTGGAAGCTGCAATTAACTTTGTTCCTCAATTTCAAATTTAATGTAATTCACAGTGTATCCACACACAGATGGATTTCACAAGTTATACCATCAGTTAATGGAAAAATCAGGATAACTAACGTTCTGCAATCTTCTTCAAGTAGAAAAAAACAAATCATTTCTAGTCTTATTTGCTTCCAAAACACAGACCACACAATAAAGTATGTTCGACTGCAATCCTTACTAGAATTACCCAAATCCTGTATAATAAAGAGTAATTGCTAAATAACAAGCAACTCCTGGTTCAATTTGGTAGAAGAATCCCATCAATTTCTTGTTTGTTGAAATGAAAAAAGGAAGCTAGGGCACACAAGTTCAACGACAAAAAAAATAGGCCATACCACTTTCGCGCTGTTGAGGTGCTCGCTGAAAGTCTTGCTCCAACTGCGATACCTGGACGACTTGGGCTGGCCGGCGGTCACCCCTCCAAAGTGCAGTGGAGCTCACAAGCCTAGGGCCTTCCCTATCACCCATTGCATCCATTCAGCTAAATATTCTGCATAAAGAGCTCACCCCATGACTTACATATACTAGAGCTTTTTGCTCCACTTTCGTGGAAAGTAGTTGGTGTGAGCATATAAGTATAATACATAATTCAAGATTTGTGTTTGGCAGGAGGTATTCTGTTGAGATTATTTATTCTACTATTTATATGTTTGTAATGGCCTAATGAGATAAGTTATTTCATGCATTGAATAACATATTTCGGAATAGTTAATATTGGGATAACTTGTTTTCAATCAATCTATTCCCCTCGCTTCTCGACTAGATCAAAGAGATGAATTCTTTTAAGGCAAGTCAAAACTTCGTGTAATATTAGGATAGTAATTATATAATCTAATAATTATGATGATCTATTTATTTGTCACAATGTAATTATAAAGTACTACTGTTTAGTTGTATAATTGCAATAATTAGGCTATATTAAATTTTATAAATAAAAGTTAATTATCTAAAATTAAAATTTATATTAGACAAATAAGATTTTTATAAATTATATTAAATTAAATATTATATATTGTCTTTAAAAATAATTGATTTATATTTTTAAATTAGTATATTTTAATTAATTTAATCATAAAAACCGAAAGTACAAGATTATGAACATCATGAAATGCATGTTTGACAGAAAGATTAATATTATAAATATAATGTCATAAAGTTATTAAAATATTTGACAAAAAAATAATATATCAAGTCTTAACTAAAAAATAAATGATTTGCAGTGTAAAATATCAAGTCAATACTATTAAAACAAATTAAACTAAAACATATAACATAAGTTCTAAATTCAAAACTAAAAATTTAATATAATACTCATATGATTTAAAATAAGAGTCTTATAACCTTATTCAACAATAAATTATACTTTAATTTAAAATTAGAATACTAACAAAATTATGCTAATTAAAAAATAAGATAAGATTGGAGGCTCTTACTTTGGAAAGTCCGAGCAACACTACCTAAATTACATGCCTAAATCAGTTTATAGGCCCAATCTTCTTCATGACATGTCTTTATTTTCGGAATTTTAAGCTTGGAGGCTCTTACTTTGGAGAGTCCGAGTAACACAACCTAAATTACATGCCTAAATCGGTCTATAGGCCCAATCTTCTTAATGACATGTCTTTATATCTGGAATTTTAAGCTTGGAGCCTCTTACTTTGGAGAGTTCGAGGAACACAACCTAAGTTACATGCCTAATCGGTCTATAGGCCCAAACTTCTTCATGACATGTCTTTATTTCCGGAATGTTAAGCTTGGAATGGAGGCTCCAACCACAACAAAAATTACATGCCTAAAATCGGTCTATGGGCCCAAACTTCTTCATGACATGTATTTATTTCCGGAATTTTAAGCTTGGAAGCTCTTACTTTCCCTATGATGTACACAGCTGATCAAGAAGTTCACCTTGTTGAAAGTGTATGACCATCACATTGCGCCATGCCATTTAAGAGATTGCAGCAACCTCATTTTCCATTGCTGCAACTTCTCTATGCTATTTTTGACCTCAATATGCGCATTTCAAACTTGTTATACCTCCATTGGTGTGTGTTTTGTGATATCATCTGGTCACAACATCAGGGGAAATAGAGCATACACCTCAATAGCTTCATCTCTCTCATTGAGGTTCTCATAACGAGCTTCGTGTTTAACTAGTATTTCTCACCTTTAGCACATGTGCTACGCCTTTGCAGCATATTCAGCAATTATTGTAGATATATATATATAATGAAAGGATATGATATTATAACTGCTATACATTCATGCAGGACAATTCTGTTGTTAATTGTTTAGCCAGAGTTGCTTTTCCTGTCATCAAGTTCTTACTAGACCAGATAATTTTGGGCTTAGGTTTGGTAGGGGCTGCGCAAACACAGGCACCCACTGCAACAAATTATGACATAGGCTCAACCACTTGGGCTGACCTTAGGCAGGCACCCCTCCAAAGTGCAATGTAGGTCACAAGCCTGGGTCATGGGTCTTATTGATCACCCATTGACCCCGTCCAGGTAAGTATGTTCTCCAGTTAGCTCAGCCAATTATTAATACTTCTGCTTCTGTTCCACATTTCTCTTAACTTCTGATGTGGGAGAATTACTTAGTACTCTTTATAGCTTTCTGTTTGGAGATAGTAAAAAAAAACCAGGTAATGGATACTATTTGTTTCTCTTTGAATACAAAAAGAACTAAAGAAGCTGTTAGAGAACAGTTCTTCAGATGCATTTCCATATCTGCAAAACTTGACCGCCTAAAACCTATGTTCCTCGGACTTTTCAACAACATTGAAACATGCGTGTAGAATCCTCCAAAAGTACTCATTTTTGGAGGATCCGATACGAGTGCAACAACATTTTTGGAGAGTCCGAGCAATGTAGCCTAAAGTGTATCAGACCTGAACCAATCTATATTAGGCTCCAATCTGCTTCATGACATGTCTTTATTTCTGGAAATTTTAAGGTCTAAGGCTCTTACTTTATATATGATGCACTCAGCTCATATCGACACATAATATTAAATAGACGATCTACAATATGGTCATATGTTAGTCAATTTGTACAATATTAATCAAGAACTTCACCTTGTTGAAAGTGAATGGCCATCACATTGCTCCTTGCTGTTTGATCATACTCCTTGCCATTTACGCGACTGCAGCAACCTCCTTTTCCCTTGCTGCAACTTCTCTATGTTTTTTTGTCCTCAATATCCATTTCCTATTTCAACATACATTTCGAAAGTGAGAGATAGAAAACAAAAGAGGTATGCTCTGCGGCTATGTTTTTTGTGGAATATCATCTGGTGACAACATCAGTGGAATAGACCATACACTTCAATGGCTTCATCTTTATTTAGCTGTATGAATTATTTAGCAATTTATTTACCCAATAAAGGATGGAAATGTACAAAATCATAGACAGGTGTTATCGTTGAGACCAAAACAACATTAACTCCGGAAAACAACAGAAGACCTGACATTTGAATTGAAATCACTCATCTTAGTTTTTGGTAATGCAGTCAAAATAGTAGCAAAATTTCTCTTTGTCCCACATCCGCAAAACACAGAGCTGGAGAATGCTACTTAACTGAAGAAACTGAGTAGAATGGGCCCGCTTGAACAGGATCTGTTCTATAGGCTCGTACCACTGCATCCTTGATTTTTAAGGAGACAGGAAACCAAGTCTAGTGGATGATTCGTAGCCATTAGACCGATTTTTAAGGAGACAGGAAACCAAGTCTAGTGGATGATTCGTAGCCATTAGACCGATTTTTAAGGAGACAGGAAACCAAGTCTAGTGGATGATTCGTAGCCATTAGACCAGAGCGTGATTAATAGCTTCCATGATCCTCGGGTCATGGTGCCATAGATGATCGTTCTTAACCTCGATCATGGGTGTTGAGATGGTCTAATGGTTGTCTGACAGACTTCAAAACATTGTTTTTGCTGTTATGGAATTTCCCAGCTCTGTTTTTTTAAGCTAAGCAAGGCTTCCATGGCTGCTAATTGCTATAATCACTAGAAATCTACTTTTGGTTTTCTTCTCAATTTCATACGTTTCTTTCTCCCTTTGGTTTTTCTCAATTCCAAAGAATTAATTTTTGCTCCACCATATTTGTTCTTCTTTTGCATTGATTAACTTTGTAAAAGTGTGGCATATATACTTGTCGTCTCTATTTACTTATCAACTATTTCATAATTTGATTTCTCCTTTTACTTCTTTTTTATTATACTCTCAATTTATTAATATTGAGTTAATGTCTTTGGAAAATATAGCAAGTAAATATGTTTGGAACCCTATCCATTAATAAGAGTAAAATGATGAACTCATTATATCAATCATTGTTTTATTAATAGGTGTGTCGAGTCAAAATTTGACAAATAAATAGGGACGGAAGGAGTATATAAGTTTAATCACAGTGTTCGACAGCAACAATCACCAAGTAGAAGTAGAGAAAATTAAGACAAAGGTTCCTCAAACAAAAAGATATAACCTGTTCTCAGCTTGATGTCACTCTAAATATTTATCAAAGGAAACAGCAGAAACCCGTGTAGGTAATAAGATTATGTCTCCAACTTCATGGTCTTGTGACCAAGTTAAAATAAAGACCTGCTAAACAGAAGCACAAGTCTCAAGTTAAACTAGCTTAATCTCTCATTGCTGCTTCATGTTCCTATTCCTCTGGCAAAAAGTTAAGATAAAATATGAATCAAGGCACTTTAAATAAGAAAATATGAGCATTCCTCTACTGAATAAAATTGAATAGTTACAGCATAATTAAGCAATGTTAGTTTTCAAAGGGAAATTTTAACTTAGGTTTGGGTAGGGGCCGCGCGAACGCAGGCCCCCGCTGTAACAAATTATGACGTAGGCTCGACCACTTGGGCCGACCTTAGGCAGGCACCCCTCCAAAGTGCAATGGAGGTCACAAGCCTAGGCCATAGGTCTTATTGATCGCCCATTGACCCCGTCCAGGTAAGTATGTAATCCAGTTAGCTCAGCCCATTATTAATACTACTGTTTTTGCTCCACTTCTCTCTCAGATACTGATGTGGGAGAATTAGTCGAAATGGCGTTACTCTCTTTAGCATTCTGTTTTGAAATAGAAAAAGAAAATCAACAGATAACAAAAAGTTCATGCTCCCGAAGCTGACATTCTCTCCAGCATAGATAACAAAAGGTTAGTCACTAGTAACATAACAATCATCAAAAGAAATGGAGGAAAAAACTAAAGTCTATACTCAAAGAGAGCATTCAAGAGAAATAATAAATCAGATTTGAGTTATAAATGGATATGGCTCAATCAACTGAAGAGTGTTGTCTTAATTAAACAAGGCAAGTTCTCTAAGAAAGGATGAATTTTCGATAACATATATAATACACACATTCTTATATAGCATCACCAGCTTCCTCAGGTCATGTTAGTTTTCAACTTCTTCAATCTTATGTCAGGTTGATTTTGTTCAGAGTCTTATTCTGTCCCTTCAACAAGAGTCTAGAAGCTTACATGAAAATGTATACAGTAGCAGCTAATAGGAGTGTTGACTGTATAGCCATTGATCTTACAAACTGAACGACCATAAGCAAACCGGCCACACCCTTATCTGTTTCAGCAGATGGTGGTTTTGTATTAGATCTGCCAAAGCAACTCTTGCCAATGCCATATAAACAGTTCCAATTTCTGTAGAAGTAAGCCATCTAGAGCTTAGCAATCTGTAACTAGTCTCTCAAACAGGTAATAATTTGTAGACTAATGGCCTTTGCCAAACTTAAGAAAATGCAGCACAAACTCTTGGAATCATCCACAAGCTGTATTGAGCATTGTATTTAGACTCTACCAAACGACCCGTAAGGCCTTCACCTATTTAGTTTAGGGTGTATGTCAAAACTTATAACCATATTAAACATGCTGCTTACAAATTTGACAACAAGTTTTAATTTACTCTTTATTTTATATTTTCATCATTCATTCTTTGTTTATTTGAAATTCAGATGAGCAAAACAAGTTTTGGGCTTAGATTTGGGCAGGGGCCGCGCGAACGCAGGCCCCCACAGCAACAAATTATGACGTAGGCTCGACCACTTGGGTCGACCTTAGGCAGGCACCCCTCCAAAGTGCAATGGAGGTCACAAGCCTAGGCCATAGGTCTTATTGATCGCCCATTGACCCCGTCCAGGTAAGTATGTTTTCCAGTCTGCTCAGCCCATTACTTATACTGCTGCTTTTGCTCAACTTCTCTTAGATAACGATGTGGGACAAAATTCATGAGAGATGTATCATTCTAATCAATTTCTTTTCTTCTTTTTTTCTCTCTATTTAATGGATTGTATCTTTGATTGACCAAGTACTTACACTTTGTTTGAATGATAGTTATATTTATTTTGATGAATGTAATATTTGAATAAAGTGACGTTCTTCATCGTTACATAACATCACACATCGACGATTTAAAACAACTTACTTGTTCCAATATTTTTCTGAAAAAAAAAACTAGTAATTTATATGTTTCTAATCTTCAACTTGGCAGTGAAAAGTAGAGTATGACATTTATAATTCAGAAAACAGGAGTATAAAGACGAAGAAAAAGAAAAATATCAGAATATCCATCTTTCTTTTTCCATAAATTGGTGTATTTAGATTTTATGGAAGATAAATAACAACAGATTTTAACATTTCTTGCAGAAATATACAAGGGAAAAAATGATAAAATGCTTGTATATTTCCAACATATCAGAAGAGAACCTTTAAGTCACAAGCTATAATTTGTTTTAAGTATAAAACTTTCTAAATATCTATTACACTTCTTAATATCCCTAACTGAATTTTTTCCTTGTAAAGCTAAAAACACAGGTACATTATTGGTTCCTAAGTCGCAGAGTAAAATTTTGGCATTCTAAAAACCTAGGAGATAGAAAACAAATTTTGCACTTCCACAAGCACATACAATACCACTTTACATATAGTAACTTAGCTGGATCTCATATACTGGCCAGTGTATCGAAGTAGTATATCCGAGTTTCAGTAGAGTATTGCGATGCATGTCATACTTATTGCTCTCGTGGTCTGGCAAGCCAAAGAGAGCTGAGAGCTCGAAGACGTGAGAAGTATTCACTTATTGCAAGTAGAGCACGGGCTGATTGTCTGGTTGTCAATATGCGATGCATTTGTTGCAATGTTTGTTGACGCAGGTTGTCCGCCTGTTAAAAGAGTCAGAAAGATGCAATGACTTTTAGCTTCACGTATTTTGCCTCCAGAGACGACATAAAACTAATATAACAAACCAGAAATCTCTGAACATGACTGGCTGTCTTGAATCATATAATTCACAAGAGAGTTACAAGTATGAGACAGAAGGACAATTGTTGATTTAAGAATGTGTTGGCGAACATAACCCTTCAGTTATTTTATGACCTCATTAAAGGACATACAAGAGGACAAAGTATCCAGACTTTTTGTCCAAAGACCAATACAAACAAGACATTCTGAAGATTCTGTGGGCAATGCATGCTGGTTGCAGTTACAAAGACCTCCAGAACAACATTTGCTTGCCCCCGACTTCCACATGTTCAAACAACTGAACGAGCATTTGCAGCTTATCTATTGTAAACAATTTAAACAAACAAAGAATAGGAAGCAGCAGCAAAAATAGAGTTACCTGACGGAGAAAACCTTCAAGAGTCCCTAATTTCCCCATAGCCATTGCCATCTGACCCATATAATTAGCTACATCTCCTGATGACCCTTCAGTAGCAGGAGATCCGTTAGCTAATGTCTCCGCCAAGGATTGCTGCAGCGCCTCCATACCTTGTGAAAGAGCATCTTCTGCTTGATGGGATGACTGCTGCAAGTTGTAAATGCCAGCTAACTGTTGCTCGGTCAGAGGCTCCAACTGATTGACTAGAAGCTGCATTACCAAAGAAATCATTTCACGAAAAATGAGACAACAGCATACCCAGTGTAATCCCACAAGTGGAGTCAGGAGAGGAGAGGGTAGAACATACGCAGACCTTACCCCTACCTTTGTGGGTAGAGAGGTTGTTTATGATAGACCCTCGGCTCGAAAGAAAAGAAAAGAATTTGAAGCATGGTAGCAACAAAATAGCAAGGTACAGAGCAAATGACGAAAAGGAATAGCAAAAGATAGCAATACACATTAAAGGAAACTACGTGATTACTAAATAATACTACTAATAAGGAGAAGCGTAGAGGAGGCTAAGGGCTGCCTCTCCCACACAAAGTGTGACAACACTCCTCTACCTACTCGCTACCTACTAAGCTGAAGTTGTGTCATGTCTTGTCTTGTCTTGTCTTGTCTTGTCTTATCACCTCCCCCAGTTCTTCCTCAGCCTACCTCTCCCTCTCCTAACTCCTGTTACAATCAATCTCCCACGGTCCCTTACTGGTGCATCCACGCACCTCCTCTTTACATGTCGAACAATCTCAGCCTACGGATTAGATGCTTATAAAGAAATAATGCATAATTTATAAAGAAGCTCATACACAGAAGGGTGTTATCTACAGAAGCAACTTGAAGTTCTTAAATTATCAACATCTGATTGACTCATGAACAAATGACACAAGAACAGAAGAAAATATAATGTACAGCACTGATATAATTCCTGCACAAACATCCATAACGGACAGAGTGAAAGCATATTAACATCAGATGCAACTGGAAGTCTGATAACATCACCAAGCTGAAGAAGCTCAGGAAACCTCATCCGGAATGGATAGAGATAATCACACAATTTCATCCAAGTTTTTGCTTCTAGGCATCAGGTTTGTTTAGAGATGCTATTATGCAGTGAACACGAGAAGAAAACCAAAAGCTTCAGTACAATAATTGTAAGTCCATGCCATTTGAAGGAGAATGTCAGACCTTAACTATCCCAGGTCACAAGACTACAGTGATGGTGTTATAGAAGATAGTGACATAAAAATGCAATTGTACACTACACGGCACCTCATTCGTTCGGAAAGTGGAACCACCCAATCTTTAGCAAGTAAATTTTCACAAGCATAAATCAATGAAATTCCACACTACTAAGAACTTATTAGTCCTGCAAACAATAGGACCTTTTTATACATGATCAAGTAGTACAACAGCTTTTTATAATCCTTTACAGGGAAAGTCTAGATGAAAAATATACAAGAACAGACGCAGAATTGACCGCATATGAAAGCAAGAAGAGGTCACCTTAAGAAGTTCCGAGGGGCGGAAGCCACCAATCCACATAAAACACCGCTCGGCAGGGGTTTTCCACATCCCTGACAAGACATGGAATACGTCTGCCTTGGCTGCATTTCCTTTCACCCTAAAGACCTCATCGTAATGTGCAGTGACATTATTCACAATACTTCGCAGTTCAGGGTCACTTGCATGTGAATTGACAGCGGTTCTCAACTCATTGATGTGTTTGTTGTGTTCTTCCAACCATCGACTATATTCTGCATCAAATGCTAAGGTCCCTGCAGAACAGCAGCATCTGAAAGGTTATCTTAGCACGAGAAAACTTTTTCAGTGCAATCAAAAATTAGGGGTTGAACGTTATCTAATTAAGAATGGCCAGCCTAATACAAAAAAGTCATGTATTTAACTGAGTGCATAAAGCAGCAACTGATTCATTCATTATCTTAATCATAGCAACCATCACAAGTGTGAGACTTATGAACATCAAACCAAGTACCAATTGAAAGTTGCAGTTTACTTTGTTCCTCAATTTCGGATTAAATGTCATCCACAGCATATCGACACGCAGATGGATTTCACAAGTTATCTCATTATTTGAGTCCAGTTAATCAGGGAAAATCAAGAAAACTGAAGTTCTACAATCTCCTTCAATTAAAAACACACATTATTTCCGTCTTATTTGCTTCCTAAACACAGACCGCGCGACACACAACATATGAGAGACGAAATATTCCTGGAAAGGCTGAAAGGTGTATAAAGTGCATATAGGACGAGTTTAAGATAGAGATAGCCATCATGTAAAATGTCTGTTTTGACTGCAATATGGTCGACGCTTTTCTGTCTAGTGAAACCAACCATTCTGATTCCACCCAAATTTTACTAGAACTACCCAAATCCTGTCATTATCATCTATGAGAGGCGCATCTAGATGATCTTAATGATATCATAGCTGATACAATAAAGAGTATTGTCGAACTGCGGAAGTTGCAACAACAACATACCCAGTTTTGTTCTCCTAGAACAATCTTTATCACGTCAAGTGTAGTCTGTCCTGCTGGGAGTAATCCCACAAAAGGGGTCTGGGGAAGGAAGAGTATACGCAGACCTTACTACCTCGTAGAGGTAGAGAGACTATTTTAGAAAGACCTTCGGCTCAAGTGTAGCAAATCAAAGTGGCTGGGGAAAAGGAAATATGGCAGTGGAGAAAACAGGTCAATTAATACGGAAAGCAATACAGGACTTCCAGAAAATGAACAATAATAAAAAAGAAATAATGTGACAACTGAAACACTAAAGACAACAGATGGTAACAGAATCAAATGCAAGAAACATGAAATAACAACCCACTCCTAGCTCAATTTAGTATCAAGAAGTGATACTTCCTCAACAGATCTAGAAGAAGACCCATCAATTTTCTTGTTTGTTGAAATGAAAAAAGGGAACTACAAGAGAAAGGCATACCACTGGCGCCCGCTCCGTTTGATTGATCTGCCATGTTTGAAATGTACTTCCCCTTCAGTTGCACAAATAAACAAAATAAGAAAAGATTGTGGAACCTCCTCAAGTTGTCCTCCCAAAAGCACATGAAAGGAAGAAGCCAATACCTGTTGACGTGCTCGCTGAAGGTCCTGCTCCAACTGCGATAGCTTCAGCCGGCTATTCTCCAGCTGTTGAACATATGCCTGCAGCATAAGCAAGTACGGAATTAGTCATTTCAAGACGAGTGAGAAACAATCAGCTGACATATTCTCTTCAGCATCCCTCATATACTAAAATGACAAACTAGTGTGGAGAATGAGAGAAGAAAGGTTTACTTTTTTCCTCAATCTACTTTTTCTAGCAGCTTCACGATTTTGGGCAAGTCTCCGTAATGTCTGCAAGCAGTGATAATAAGCAAAAAGAAAATAAGAAAGGAACATGAGTTCTCCTCTTCTAAAACTAAATAGTAAGAAACGGACCTTCTGATCCAAGACTTTTTCTTTTGATTTGTCACTGGAATCAGAAGCTGCAATAGCCCTGGATTGACCCGTCTCAATCTGCACAATGGAAAAGAATTTTCATTCATGACTCAAATGTAAGAACACAAACCAGATTATGATAAATGTTATACTTTCAAGTAAAGAAATTTCCGCTTAATTTTTTAAGCATGCAATAACAATTATTGAAACAAAAAGGTTGCAATAACAATTATTGAAACTAAAAGGTCCACAAACAATACAAAAATCACCCTGTTACTTGAGGAGAAATTTTCTGTTACATGTACAAACTGTTCAGTTCAATAAAATTGGATATTTGTGAACCAAAAACTCAAGTATGAAATTGAAGTGATGAAACCTAGACAATCAACCAATTATTGCTCAATAACAGCTAGTTTGGGATTGGTTAACATAAGTCCTCTGTATCTATTCCACTTATCCATTTCTTTACAATACAAATAATTGTCTTATATTTTGAATTAATAATTCAATAATACACACTTCCATTTATTGTATCAGTCATTTATTAAAGTAATAATGATTGAAAAGTTCATCTAACAAAGAAAACATAAGATTAAAGTAATTTGGATTCTTGACAGTTGTGAAAGTTGCAGAGATGGAATATGTCAAACATTTTGAGACATCCCAAACAAAAAAGAGTCATATAAGATGGGACAGGAATAGTAAATAACTAATCATTCAAGGAAAATTAGAGTTCTCTAAAACCAGAGATTCTCTCACACTTTTTCTTACACAGACATACAAGTGTCCAAATCTATGTTGCAAGCACTCTTCAAAATCTCCGCCGCACCCATGTAGACACGACATAGGTGTGTGGGATCTATAGCAGATTTGGTCAACTTATCTTGGGTACTTTGACACATTCTAGACCGAGAAGTATAGATTGATTGGGTATTTAGTTTGATTTTTGGGTTTATGTCATAAATATATATAAAGTACGCGAATGTGGTCATTCTCAAAAAATGTAAAGTATGAGAACCCTTTTCTATTGCGTGAGAAAAGAACAAAATATTGGTGTTTATAAGGAATGAACTTCTATTAATTTAAGTTCAATAACTTCAACTAATTGAAATATATCATAATAAACATTTATTGGTCATATCCCAGCACATGTATCAGTACTCAGATCCATACCCCCGAATCCTAAAATTTATGTGATAAAGAATCTGGATTTTCGATAGGCAGCACCCAGGTCGGATACCCGAACCTGAGTCTGATCAGCATAGACCCAAATAGAACAAAATGACTCCAAATAAACATTTCACTTTATGTAAGTGGCCAAGCGCAATAACAATAACCAAAACCCCAATCCATACTTGTTGGTTTGCCTAGATGGCCCCTTGACCCTTCGCTTCTGTTAAATTTTATTCTTACTCAAATCAAGATAAATTCCAAGAGATCCCAGGTCTTTACAAACCAAAGAGAAATGGACTAAGAGAGGCTAAGCAATGAAACTGAGACAAGCAGAGTAAATTACCCTTTGATTTCTATCATCTCCATCCATGTCAGTTGAAGTATCAGTGCGAGAACCAGAATCTGCCATGTTGGACTCGCCCCAATTCTCAGGATGAGTGCCGGCTGCAGGAACTAAGTTTGATTGCAATTGTATTACATGAGATCCCGGAGCAGCAGTAGACAAACTTGTATTTGAAGGAGCTAAATTCTGCAAGTTCAATGGGAAAAAAATATATCAAAATAAGCTAAATGCCTTGCCCTCAGCCTGTGGACATCTCTGGCAATATCAGATTAACAGTTTCTACTTCTCTTTAGGAAGAAATGTAGAGAGAATAATGCCATGATTACCCTATTGATGGTTCCAGAGACGTCAAATCCCACTGCTGGATTAGCTGCAGATGTTGAATTAAATAGGGGACCTAAACCAACAAAAAATATATTCATCAATCATACTACACAGGAAATGGTCAGTCTTCACATAAGTGAGACAAGTTGCTAGACAATTGTGGTTCACATATAACGGAACACTAGAAAAGAAAACACAAGTGCTTTTCAGTAAAATCAAGCATTCCTACTACAGTTGAAATCAAGCTCAAGAATACCATTGCAACCACAGTTCTCTAATAAGGGGGATCCAGACCACCTTCCAGCATCACTCTAAACATTTAGGTTTAACAATATCGAGTATTTGGAGAGCAGACATCCAGTTTATTAGACCATAAGTTAGTTCTTTCACCCGGAAGTTACATTGACAGATCAGTTTGAGTGAAGAGCACAAAGTAACAAAGGAATAAAACCCCAATTATCCTTGTCCACTTGTCCTTCATGCTCTTCAACATTTTTTGGCTATTGTTTGCAATATCTTCACATTATATTTGATAGGTACTCCCTTTGTTTCAATTTGTTTGTCTTGTTTTGACTTGGCACAAAGTTTAAGAAAGTAAAAGGACTTTCGAATCTTGTAGTCTTAAACTCATATGTTGAATGTACCAAAATGTCTTTTAATCTTGGTCTTAAACATGCCATATGGAAATTGAAATAAAAGAGTTGTCAAAAGGAGGCATTCTTTTTTAAATGGACTACAAAAGAACGTAAGACAAACAAATTGAAACGGAGGGAGTACTATCTTTACATTACATTGTAATCCGAAAATGACAAACACAAAACCAGATGGTGGCAATTATATAAATATATAGAGATCAGGAAATAAGAGCAAATTGTGCAAATGACCACCTGGTACATAACTTATGAAGTCCGCGCTTTTGACCTAATTTTTAACAGTGCATTTAGAACTAAACCCAAAATTTTAAACACCATGCAAACAGAACATTTTCTTGACACCACTACTTTTGGATGTAAAAAGGTCACATGTCTTGCACCCATATTAGGACAAAAAAAAATCAATTCCCATTTTGTTCGTTACTGCCAAACCCAACATTCCTGGAATAGGTATACTAATTTAACTCTTATTTAACATTGTCCAAATAGGAAGACCCAATTCAAGATGTATCAAATATTTGGAACAATGAACTTCGTCTTCTTAATTTAAATTAGCTATCTCAATATCACAAAACACTATTTACTTCATATACTATGCGCTCAAATATCTTTTCCAAACTATAGGTATCTACATAGGAATATTACTTTTTCGTAGCTCATCTACAAAGAGGTTACTTCATATACTATGTGCTCAAATATGTTTTCCAAATTATAGACATATATATGGGAATATTACTTTTTCGTAGATTATGTATAAAGAGGTTACTTCATATACTATGCGCCGAATATATTTTCCAAACCTATAGATACATAAGAATATTAGCTTTTCGAATATTATCTATAAAGAGGATTCGTACGTTACGGTACCACGTCGGTTGAGGGTATGAATTTTACCTTCTTTATATGGTCTTTCTGCAACTCTCACCCAATGAACTAGTTTTTTGGGTAGAGTTATGCCCAAGGTTGGTTGCTCTTAACATAGTATGATGCAATTCCCTAATGTTAAATTACCCAATGTTGGACCCTCATGTCCAAATATCTCTTATATAATCTTGAACTCCTACTAACGTTTGGAATTGAGTTAAGTTCAAAGTCCCACTTCTCTTACTACATTTAGACCTGACTAGGGTAGAAAAGCAAAGAAAAGTCCTATGCCATGATCAGTCTCTTCAGCTCATTTAAACTTTTCGGAGGTCTCAACTACCCAAAGATAATTTGCATGGAAAGTAAAACTTGCTGATAAGATCATCAGTTGTTTACAACAAGAGAGCCCAAATGCTCACTAGAAACACTAAAGACAAAACATACTTGGAGCCTACTGTAAACCCGTAACTTAAAAAACGCTCAAACATACAAAGATTCTTTTATCAGATGACAGATAGGAAAGATAGGCAGACCAAGAACATTAAGGATTAGTCTATAAAATACATACTTCGATTAACATTAGCACCATCTCCGATACGGAATCCAAGATATTGCTCAAGCACCCCAAATTCAGACATTCGAGAAGTATTTGTATTGTTCCCTTCAGTGCCCCTGAAATCCAAAATTACAGCCCAAAAATATTGTTAAACAGGAATTAAAAATCTGAGATGTCACCTACATACACAGCATATCAGCAATGACATATAACTATTCTAGATTTAGACTAACACGTTAAACTGTAATTATTCAGGAAGAACTCTGAGAAACAACTTGACTATGAAATGGTTGAACATTCTTTCCTCTTCTTATTAAGTTTAACTCGTTTCTAGGGATTAGCGGAGTATTAATAGAAATAGTTGATTTACCTAAACCATGATCTGGACAACAGCAGAAGGGGGTTCATTTGAATCCCCTTCACCGGAAAACACATGATAATATAAAAAGTCAAAATTATCTATGAACCCCCGTTAATGGAAATCCTACCTCCGCCGCTACAGGACCTATCCGATCCTGAAACAAAGAGAGTTCAGCTCTCTTTCTTCTTCTTTTTTCGCTTGAGAGACTATCCTAAAACTCATAAAAAGTCATCTCTCCAAACTAGAATCAAACTGTAAGTGACTTCTATTTTTATTTACATGAACAAATAGAAAGATGTATAGCCTAGTCCCTATAACAACTATCTCAAAAATCGAATCCTTCAACATAAACATTAGAACTAAACAGTAATCCCCATCTGAAACAAATCCAACACTTACAAACATACAAAGAACAAACTAAAATTTACAGAAATTCAAAAAAGAAAAAGCATGTTAAGAGATATACATGTGATTTGAAACTGGAATCTGAGAAATGAAACTGGGCATCCCAGAAGTACCACTCTTATAGCCTTTTCTACCAATCTTCACATCATCATCAACAATCCACAACCTCAGTTCATACACTCAAAACTCTACAGAAACAAAATTAAACTACAAACCCCCCTTCAAATAGTTGACTAAGTACAAAAACTTCCAAAAAGCAACCGCTTAAAACTTTAATACATACACCGCATCAGACAAAATTACACCATTGAAATCAAGAAAACCCAAAAAAAAAAAACAGCTGTGCATAAACCCTCACTTCAAACACCAAAAAGGTCAAAACTTTATCAAAACCCAACTACCCCTTCATCAAAATGAGTTAATAACTAATACCCAAAAACTGAAAATTAATAAAAAAACCTCAAGAAAATTGAATTTTCTACAACCCCACTTTGTATAAAAACTAAATAAGCAAAGTTGGAGTGGTTCAATGACTGGTCAGTAAACAATTTCAAGTTGAATTTTCTGTATAAAGACTCATTTTTTACACAAAATTCAACGAACCCAGAATTTATTTTTGTATAATTTTACTTAATATTATTATATATTTATGACCACGAAGAACGAGGGAAAGAGAGAGGAAGATGACAAACGTGACGTTTAGATCATTCCAAACTACGCTAGCCCCCGCGTCATTTTCTAAACCACCGAGATATATATATATATCAATATTTGTTCGATCCGATCATTTTTATTTGTTTATTTTGAACTTTATATGTCTTTCTATAAATAAAGTAGCTAATATAAATATTTTATTTTGATATTAGAAATGATAAATAAGTAAAAGTGAGGAGTATATTTTAATATTCCTAAATTATTTAGCGCACTTACATAATAAAACAATCTAATTTCAGATTCTCCTTAGGAGTTTTGGAAGTTACACCTAACACACCCAAAGTTTTTATGTTTTCACTTGGATCCCTTTATTTGAAAGAGTGGGTTTTGACTAATATCCTTTAATTATGATTTATTTATTTATTTAGCTTGTTATATATAACATTGAAAAATTATATTGAATTAGGAATTGTCAAGGATAAATTTGGAGGGAAAAAATTGAACATCTTGATTTTGTGAAACAACAATGATTTTGAATGGAACGGAGTATAATTTATTGTATGTTTCTTTATATTTATATGTTAGTTTATACCGTTTGTAATTGTTATATATCTTTTATCTTAAATAGTTCAAGTATTTACTAGGCAAGATTACTAAACTAGGAGAAGAGGAGACTAGCTCCCCGCCTCTCCCCGTATAAGTACGACAATTTTGCTATTCTAATTTTCGATCTTCAAAACTTTCTTATCTAAGGTCAATATGCATCATATTCTCAATAAGTTGAAGATGCATTATATCTTGTCTAATTACTTTTTTTGATGATCTTCTTTGGATTATTTTTACCTTTCTTACAACTCGTTATAGTTAAACTTTCATACATTCTTATTAATGCCTCCACACACCTTTTCTATACATGCATGAATCAGCTCAATCTCGCTTCAATCATATTATTTGTAACGGAGATTAGACCATTGCACTAATTTTTTTAGGCTAATCATAGGTAGATGATCGTTGGTGGATGTGTATAGTACTAAATAAAAGTTGTTGGGAACTTCGGAATATACAAAACAACAAATAAGCAAAGTTTGTTGAAAATTCCATAAATGAAAATAGTAATGATTAAAAGCATCATAGTCAAACATATGATAATTAGTTGGCTTTAATAATTGTCAATATAAATGTTTCTCAAAATCGACATAAATTTGGTTATGTTGACCAAAAGCTTTTACCCTACATGTCTAGATGTGAACACCCTTGTTACAAAAAATGCCAATTTTCAAACACAAATCATTGCACTATTTGTTACTCCCTCTTAGCAAAAAAGGAAAATATTTTTCTAAAACTATTCAATTTTATCATTCGTTATATTTCATTTTATCTATTCATATTGTATTAATTTTCATTATTTACAAAGCTTCAACATGGAGTGGGGTAGATTCACACATGTTCAATTTTTTCAAGCAAAAAGATTCAAATTTATCCAATTAACTTTTAATTACAATATAAAATCACCTTCAAGTTGAAATACCATTAAAGGTCAAGGATCAAAACAAACAAGAGTAATATTAGATCGTAACTTGTGGAGGATAAAATTACTTAATTTCATATAGTATATAGGTAAAGTTGACCATTTCTTGTTAAAGAGAGAAATACAATGAATGAGTTTGGTTTTTCTGTAACCAAAAGTCTCATATTCAAGCTTCGATATAAAACATTCTTGGTACTTGGTAGGATTTTCCCTCGAATGGAACCCTATACGATGTAAATCTGAACTAATCGAACTTCAATGTGAATATCAGACATTAAATCGAAAAATTTTAAAAAAAATGAGAGAAATGTAGTGGACCACTTACAATTAACTAAACTATATGGGCTACTTAGTCAATATTGACAAATGTTTTATTACTATATTTGTATTTCCTTTTCCAGCGCCGCCTTACCGGGGAGATAGATGCTAATATCATTTTGTACTTTCCAACACAAGTAATTTATATTTTAATTAAATTATTAAATAATTTTAATAATTAGAAAAACAACTTTTTCCAAGATATGTTAATTAATTAAATTATTAGAATCAGAAAGATATTTATCATTAGCCAATTACCTTTTTGCTTCGTGATTTTTCATTAATGCATTTGCAGGATACATTAATTAAATTATTAGCAATATAACAAAATTTATGCAATTTTTTAATTAAGGATTCAACTAAATCCATTGTTTTCTACACGAAAAAATGATTCAGGATGTGAAAATTATTTAAATTTCAATAAATACCATATATAAACCTATTATTTTAAAATACAATAAAGAATTTTAAATGTACAAGTTATCATATTTAAATATTGGATCAACTTTTATATATCTCGAGTTGTCGAAGAAAAAGAAAAAAAAGTATAAAACTTAAACTAAGAAGTAAAGTAGGAATCTCTTTTTCTTTTTTTGATAAATTCTAAAATCATCCGAAAAATGTATAAAGTCCTTTAGTTCCAAGTTCCAACATTCCCACGTAAGAGTCAAGAATCTTGAAAGTTAAATTCGATTAAATTAATTAAATAATTTATAATTAAAATTTAAATATTTAAAAATTATACTAAAAGTTTTATAAGTTATAATTGTACTCATTTCAATTTGATGGAAAAAATACTTTCCAAAGTTAAATATAATTTGACTCTCGAGAAGTGAAATATAACAATTAATTCTGGACGGAGAGAATAATAAGTACATTGTATGTAACAAACAATGGGCCAACAAGGAAAAAAATAACCAAAAGTTTTTAAAGTTAGAAAGCAATTTTAGTCTAACTTTTATATTTCTTTCTGGCAAAGGAAGGAGAGAAATTGAAATAATTTAAAATCATATAAATGCATAAGCTTCAAAAAAATATCGTGATGTCGGAGCCAACTTGTACACACGTCCACTAAATTCCACGAGGTACCCACTACCTCACTACCTCCCATCAACATAGTTACCGGATAACTCTATTCAATAAGGCTTGAACAAATAAGAAGAAATCTCCAACAACATAGTTACCAAGTAACTCTGTCCACATTATTGACTACTAGACTATACCCTCAACCTCAAGTGCAGAATGAATGTATAATTATAATTTATAGCCATTCATTTGGTATCAAATACAGTTGTTAAGCATACACATGGTGAGGCCTGTTTAAGACTGTTTAAGAAGTTTCTTTGCCTTCCCCATGACAGATTATCGACACTATATCGCGTAGAACGACCATAATGAGCATGTCATGTACAGGACAATCCAGTGCACGAAGCATTATGCGTTCATGCACGGTTCGGGGAAGGGCTGCACCCCTTGGGGCTATGATGTGCATGTCATTATAATGAAATCACAGTTGCAGAGAAAGCATCATCTGGTAATCTAACTAATTTGGTTAGTCCCACTACTTGTATAACTGAAAATGTAGCTTAGCAATAGAAAAAAATGATGAAGATGGGGATAATTTTCTTGTTTCTTTTCTTTCTGATTCTCTTTCAGTCTCATGGAAATCAAAGAACCAGATAATAAATTATCAAAACATGGTGACCATGTCACTTTTTTTGGAAGATTTATAGTTGACATAAGATCCAACTTCATAGTTGTTTCTACCCGTTAAAGTTCTAAAAAACTTCAGTCTTTGGTAAGGGAGAACTAAAGAGAAAAACTAGTCATCGTCGTTGTTAATTGTGCTTACCATACCAGCCTCATGCCACTTCAAAAATCCTTCTTCAAGGGCCTTTCTCATCCATGGGTGCCGGCAACATTCAATCGCCTCAGGAATTGTCAGCCAAGTTCTTTCCCGCCGGCTCTGTTCTGGCCAACAGTCAAGCTCTTCCTTCACAAACAAAGCAAACATGGCAGCTCTACACAGACCTTCTGGACTGAACTCGTCTTGAAGTGTTTTGCTTTTAAAGGGGTAGTATCCCAAAAAATGCTGAAAAAAAGAAGAGGTATAAATCCAATGGATACATGATAACAAAAGACAAGGGAAGGACGTCAATTCTACAGACGCTCCAACCTACAAGTTATTTACACAAGATACTTATTTTAAGATAAAACGTTATGCCGATCAAGAGAGGATTACTTGGAAGTTTTACACCAAGACAATCTAAATTCTAAACTAAAACAAGCATATTTTGACTCTCCTAAAATGCTCCAACAGAAGTTCAGCTTTTGTAATATTGTTGCATCACATTTAGACACTGTCCAGTGCTAAATTTTGCATCTTCTTGATGTGTTTTGTAATATCTCCTACTTCATAAAAAAAAACATATTGAAGCTTCATCACATCATATGATGCTTTCTTGTAAAAAAATTCACCCCATTAATAATAAAAGAACATTCTGCACAGAGAGAATTAAAGATGATAAAGTAATAAAACGACACGAGCAACATTCAAAGCTCAAAGCTCAAAGGCAGAGAAAATGTTGCTATTGTGGTCCATTTGACATGCAAATCCATCACTAAAAAGTGATTTTTCCTCCACTAAAACATGATGAACCTCCATGCAACATGGAATAACATATTTGCGTGTCCAGATACTACAGAATAAATGAAGAAAGGTTACAATGATCTCACCACTAAATCCCCACGAACTCCAGCCTCCTCTATGGCTTCACGAACAGCTGCCTCTTTAACTGTTTCATCATTTTCCCACCCTCCCTGTATATACAAAGACAGAAATGTCAATTAACAGACATCTTGTCAACTATAAGGCAAAATAAACATGAACAAAAAGAACTAACTAAGATCTTATTCCCCAATATCACGGTGCTGCTAATAACTAAAAAATAATAACAATTGAAGAAAAGAACAAGAAACCTATCAGAGTATCAAGTCATGTGTGATGCCCAGAAAATAAAAAAAAGGAGAGCCTACTGTAAATGCCAAACTTGATGTCTTTCTAGTTGTTTAATTTGGTAAGGTTCAATTTGACAGCAAGGTGGAACAAAGTTAGCAAATCTCTTAATTATGAGGTTGAAATACCAAGTGGTAAAGAGGACACAACCACTAGATCCATCAGAAGATAAAGTCACACAGGTTAACTTAATGCTGGTCCAATAAAACACTTCAGTCATTTGAACTACCATAGCATATTGCTTGAAATCCAAAAGAACAATTCTCACCTTTGGAAACAGAAGACCAGGTCCGCTCGTTGAGTTTATCATCAGTACTTCAACTATCTTTTCAGACGTGTCATTACCATTTTGTTCCATATCTCTGAACCTGAATGGTATACACCTGTGACAACTCTCGTTATAATTCAGAACATACAGGTTCTAAGTCAATATTATTCTGATTTCAAATGCAAACCCAGGAAGTTAACATAGTAGTTGCCCACTGTTTTCAGATCTTGAAGAAGCAAAAAATCTTTGACAAATGGAAGTCGTCAAACGACGTAACGACTATCAGGGGTCTAAAACCCATATAAAGGTGCTGTGTACTTGTGAAAAAGAGACCCCAAAGTCAAAAAAGTCAGATCTACCACCTGAATTATTGAGAAAAAGACAGCCACAAAGTGAACTTGTATGTCAACTTCAAAAGACATGCTTAGTATTTAATTAGAAGAGCTAAAATTTGAAATTTGAGCTTACTTCACTTTTTAGAAGCCAAAAGTTTATCTTTTTCTCCATAAAAATCCACATATTACTTCTGTTCTAAGAGGATTTTTTTATGAGAATCATATTCCATATTTTCTAGCCACGGAAGGATTTCTCTTGTGTACATAAATTTTTCTACTCTGTGCAGTTGCTTTTCTATAACTTTCCAAAGACTAAATCAAGTATTCAGTGCATAACACACTTTTAAAAGAGTCGAACTACAAATTTTAACTCGAAAACCAACAATTTTTAACAATATAGAACAGTGAAGCCCCCAGTCAATGTCACCACGCTAAGTTGCAGCCTGAATAGCTCAGAACTAAGCCAAACTCTAGAGCTAACAAGGTGCAATGCCCGTCAACTAAGAAAGGGAAGCAATCCTTCCATCAGTCTTTTTCTTTCTCACATTTTTTTCAGCTGAAAAATAATCCCATCCCATGGCTATTTCGTTGAAGCCATAGTACTAGTTGTTGATGGTGATAGGATGAATGAATTATTATTTGTTAAATGATGACAGTATGCCTCCAAATTTCATCTTATGTTCATCATAAAATTATGTGGAACTGAAAAAACATAAATAGACAGGGTCACCCAATTCCTACTCCAACTTTCCAAGAGTCATTATTCTTCTTTTACCTCCTCAAATTTTACTTCTTTTTAAATAAGCAACTTGAAGAGAACAATGCCAGCCTATTCCCACATGTCCTAACAGTTCTTGGGCATTACTCTTCAGAAAAGACTTCAACTTCTCTTTTTGATAATTGTGGTGTCCGGGCCCGCTTTCGCACACCTCGACTAATTTCCCAGGAAACTTGCCATCTCCCACCAGCAACAGGTAACTCTGTCTATCTACCAAAGCTAGGACAAATAGATATCTCGATTGAGATTTGGACCTGAACATCATGGTTCTCAACCCACTTCAGTGACCACTGGGCCACACCCTTGGGTGCGAAAAGACTTCAACTTTTTCTTTCGGTAATCGTTGTCCAGGGGCTTTCACGCACCTCGACTAAGCCCACGGGATACATGCCACCTCCCACCAGCAACAGGTAACTCTGTCTATCCACCAAAGCTAGGACAAATAGATATCTCTATTGGGATTTAGACCTGAACCTCATGGTTCACAACCTACTTCAGTGACCACTAGGCCACACCCTTGGGTGCGAAAAGACTTCAACTTTTTGAAGATACTAAACTTTATTAGTCCATAGAAAGCTAAAAAATTGCCCCCCTTTCTTAAAATCAAACTGCACAAACCCAACCCTTAAACAAATGCAATCAAAGGAAACTCTGAAGTGGAAGGAACTGCAATCCATCTTGTTCCTTAAGAGCCCTTCTTCATCAATTATCAACACCAATGTAGAAAATGCCCACATTCAACAGAAAATTTTCCAAAACCAAACAGAACCCAAATGAGCAAAATCCAAAATAAATCCAAACAAAACAGAAACTTCACACAAAGAACAGAAAAGAGAAGTACCCAGCAATGAGTCGATAACCTTCTTCATACCGCTGTTGATGCCGACCCGTCCGAGCAACCAAATCAGACATTTATAATTCAAATATATATATCTCTATAACTTTATACAGAAGCAATGCCTAAATCTGCTTAACCATATTTGCCCAAACTGGTTGGCTTTTATCCCTTCTGCATTGTAAAAAATCAACCCTTTTTCCCTTCATAAACAGCAAAATAGGCAGTACCCATTTTCTTGGTTTTATCAACAAAAATAAAAGTTAGATGAAAAATTAGAAACAATGAGAAAGGAGAGAGAGAGAAAAGGGAAAAGGGTGTTAAAAGCAGCGCATGAATCGGAGTAGCAACATGGGAGTCTTGAGCTGACCAAGAATGGTTCGGGATCCTAATCAGAAGTCTCGAGTCCAAGCTCATACAAATATATGAACGGACCAAGAATGATTTGAGCACGAATAAATAAAAAGAAATTATTGGAAGCTCATTTTAATAAAGATATAAGCTTTAGTTGGTTTAATAAAATATTTACACATTTATATTTTGGGTTATGTGATTATCAAGCCTAATAACATAAGTACCATGTGAATTTTTACTATATAAAGCTCTATAATTTTCTTTCGTATTTCAAAGTGGGACTCATTTAAGATGTAACGTACACCTCTTCTTTGGATATTGGAGGCTTGCCAACCTAGAAGCTTTTCGATCCTTTTATGTGATCCGTCCTTGTCAATCCACCCTCCGTCACTTTTACCCCACCGACCACCGTCACATTGAAGAAGCGCTAGACTCTATTACCAAATGTAACGACCCAAGCCCAACTATCAAGACATTGTCCGCTTTGATTCAGTATTTGTTTGGGTTACCCCTAAGCTTATGGGCCTCGTGAATAAGCTCTTCTTGACAATTGATTCTGAACTCGCACATAAATGACTTTTAACTTTCTCCTCTCACTCTGACTAGAGATTCACCCAAGACAACCCTCACACCAAATCCCCTTTCAAGTTCAGGTTCTAGCACCCCTTTAGAGTGTGACAATTACATTCAAAACCATATAATAATTTTAAAAAATGAAAAAAAAATTATTTTTTTTTTAAAAAGTTGGAAAAAATTGAGACAATGAATACATATGTTGTTGGTTTCTGTTAGTTGTCTCCTTTGTTACATCACACGTAGAGAGGATAGAGAAAAAGAAACAAAAGAAGAAAGAAAAAAACACAATATTGTTGGATCAAGAAAGTGTAACAGAGTGATCTAATTACCATAGCTTAGTTTGATCCATAATTTGTTCACATTTTATAAGTCATTTGATGAAATGATGAAATCCATATTGAAAAAGGATTCATCTTGATCTAAAAAATAATCATGAAGGCATTGGAAGCAACCGTTAGAAAAACACAATTGGTAGCTAGAAAAAGAGCACATACAATATTTGGGACATATGGACCAACAACACAAATTGATGAAGCTGAGTTTAATAACAACAACAAAGAAAAAGAAATAGTGGAAGAAGATGTTCAACAAGAAAATGATGATGAAGAATACCATCCAATGAATGGTGAAACATATCATTTAGAAAAATTTCTATCAAATGGAGATTACTATACCGGATATTGGGTCGATAATTTACCTAATGGACAAGGTAAGTATTGGTGGACAGATGGATGTATGTACGTAGGCGATTGGAGTAAAGGTAAAATGAAAGGTGAAGGTATATTTAGTTGGCCTTCTGGTGCAATGTATGAAGGTAATTTCAAGAATGGTTATATGGATGGTGAAGGTACTTATACAGCACCAAATGGTGATACATTTAGAGGTTGTTGGTTAATGGATTTAAAACATGGAAATGGTGTTAAAGAATATGCAAATGGTGATTGTTATGATGGTGAATGGTGTAGAGGATTACAAGAAAGTAATGGTAAGTATACTTGGAAAAATGGGAATTATTATGTTGGTGAATGGGCTAATGGCACTATGTGTGGTGATGGAAAATTGTATTGGACAAATGGTAATTTGTTTGAAGGGAATTGGGAAGATGGATTGCCTAAAGGGAAAGGTACTTTTCATTGGGCTGATGGGAGTTATTATATTGGGAATTGGAGTAGAGATCCTGATGAATTGAATGGCACTTTTTATCCATCTGAGTCATTGTTAGAAAGGGGCAATTTTGAATGGGATCCTCAACAAGTTTTCAATGTTGATTTGATGGGATGTACAATCTCACCAAATGATAAGATTTCAGTGTTGCCTTCACAGCAGAAACTCGCTGTGAGGATGTCATCGTCGAGGCCTGTGGACAACAATAACAACAGTAGGACGAGGAGGATGTCGATAGACGGTTCAGCTGATAGTGAGTTTAGTAGAATGCAGTTATCAGATGGAGTTGGAACAACATTAGTTGCTACTACAAGTAATTCTTGTTCAGATATCGACGCGATGGTTGCTTTGTTGGAATCTGATGGATATAAAAGTGGGAGTCCTATTAGGATTCCTAAGATTGTCAAAAGGCAAGGAATCACAATATCTAAAGGGCATAAAAATTATGAGCTTATGCTTAATTTGCAGTTGGGAATCAGGTAGGTAAATTTTCTTTCATGTACAGTTCTAGTTTCTTCAAAGAGAGACGTTAAAGTTGTCTCCGAGTGACCTATAGGTTTAGGGGTTCTAGCTGTGAAATCAGCCACTGATGGTTGCGTCAGGGTAGGCTGCATATATCACACCCCCTCAGGATGGGGTCCCTTCCCTGACTGTCAGATGCTTCATGCACCGGACTGCCTTTTTTTACAGTTCTAGTTTGTTCAAAAAGAGACCCCTGGAGAAACAGTAAAGTTGTCTCCGTGTGACTTATACGGTAGGAGTTATAGCTGTGGAATCAGCTGTTGATGGTTGTGTCAGGATAGGCTGCATATATCACAGCCCCTTCCCCGACCACAGGATGCTTCGTGCACCGGACTGCCCTTTATTACAGTTCTAGTTTCTAGTTTCTATATATGTACTAACAGATCACTTAGCTTTATATAATAAGCATTTATTAGCATGTAGCATGGAAAAATATGGTAAATGATTTGCTATGATAAACGACATTACGCTAATAATGTAAAATTTCTTTATACAGTCTGTGTATATAACTTATCGAAAACCTGTAAGCATCTGTCATATTATTGTGCGTTTGCTAGACTGAGAAGAGTATTTTTTGTTTGTTTATGGTACCTTGTAATGTGAATAACCATATAGGCATACAGTACAAAAGCTTGGCCCTCCTCCAACACTCGATCTTGATCCATCAGCTTTTGATCCGAAAGAGAAGTACTGGACAAGATTTCCACCTGAAGGATCCAAGAGTACGCCACGCCATCAGTCTTGTGAGTTCAGATGGAAAGATTATTGCCCAAAAGTTTTCAGGTAATGATGCCTCACTATGCAATGTTATCAACTTAGTATACTTAAAGAACAAAAAGTAAACGTTATATTCGACATGATACTGTTCAGGGCTCTGAGAACGTTGTTCAAGGTGGATGCAACGGAGTATATGTTGTCTATTTGTGGCCCCCTTAGAGAGCTAAGCTCTCCGGGAAAAAGTGGAAGTTTTTTTTACTTGACAAATGATGATAGATATATGATCAAGACAATGAAAAAGGCAGAAGTAAAGGTGAGGGACAGAAAGACTGTTTCTAATAGACCCTCGGCTCAAACTTTTTGAGCATTGCAATGAAGTCATCATTTCTTCATTCTGCAAACTACATGTTTCTTTCTGATTTTTCGTGTCAATGAATGATCATTAGGTACTTTTAAGGATGCTAAATGCCTATTATGATCATTTTCGTGCTTTCGAGAACACCCTTGTGACTAGATACTATGGTCTGCATTGCCTGAAGCTAAATGGACCAGCTCAAAAGAAGGTAGATTTACATATAATGCATTGAAATTGAACACTAGTTAAGTTATTTACCAAAAGAACTTGTAATCTGTTCAATGGTTTAACTAGGTACGGTTCGTGATCATTGGGAATCTCTTCTGCACCAATTACACTATTCATAAACGGTTCGACTTGAAAGGATCAACTTTTGGCAGGATCACAGATAAACCAGAATCAGAAATTGATACAACAACTACTCTTAAAGACCTTGATCTCAACTTCATATTCAAGTTACAAAAGTCATGGTTTGAAGAATTCCGAAGGTAAAATTATATCAATACCGATATCTAGTCTTAACTGGTATTGCAAGAAAGAGCATCTTGAAAGCATTAAGTTTAAATCCTGAATCCAACTCTGGCTCGAAAATTTCTTTGATATTGCAGGCAAGTTGATAGGGATTGTGAGCTCTTGGAACAGGAAAGAGTAATGGACTATAGTCTTTTAGTTGGTGTAAATTTTAGGGAAGGAAATGCTAGTACTGGATATCAAACTCCTTCTGGCTGTAGGACGCCTATCGGTTAGTGCTAATCTTATAACACTTGCACATTTACATTTGTCAGTACTACGCCTCAGTCCCAAACAAGTTAAGGTCGGCTACATTTGTCAACTGCTAATTAACTCTCCTCATAATAAAGGCTCAAACTTTATTGTAAGAAAACAAGAAAGCATCATTCTTTTCCTAATGTTTGCAGAAAATGGAACCACAGAAGCTGAACCAATTCATCGGTTTACTAAATCAGATGTGGATCTATTACTTCTTAATCCTGCAGGGTAAGTTTTTGATCTGTCAAGTCTGCAATCTTCTCAATAAGTAAACTTGATATTTAGTCTTCATGTGGTAATCGAACTAGGACTAAAGATCATCTCTTCTAAGCTGTGTTGCTCGGACTACCTAAAAATGTTGTCACTCCCCTGTCAGATCCTTCAAAAATGCACTACTAGGATATGACACGCACATCATTTTTTAAGAGTCTGAGCAACGTAACTACTAAGTACTTTTCATCATCGAACGTGCAACTTATGTTATGTCTTTGAGTAATGCAGGTTGACAAACACAAGTTTAGGAATAAACATGCCTGCAAGAGTTGAAAGGACATTCAGGAAAAATGACTTGGATTTTCAGCTAATAGGAGAACCAACAGGGGAGTTGTATGATGTGACATTATTTTTCGGAATAATCGATATACTTCAAGACTATGACATAACCAAAAAGCTTGAACATGCATATAAGTCTATACAATGTGATCCAAATTCTATCTCAGCAGTTGATCCAATGGCATACTCGAGGCGTTTTCGCGATTACATATTCAAAGTTTTTGTAGAGGACAATTAATAAAGGAATATCATACTTGTAAGTTTTAAATTTGATTAGAGGAGTTCAAGCTGCAAGATGGATCTTTTCTTGTGAAGGATTTCAACATTTTTTGTTGTTGAAGCTTAGAAGAACTCATGCTTCATGGAGTTTTTGTCTTGAGATTTTGAAAGTTTTTTGTTAAATATAGATATATATACTATTCTGATAGCAATTGTATAGAAAAAGTTGTAAAAGGATTGATGCAAATTAACTGTCTTCATATTAAGTTTCAATTGCCAATTGACTAGGCCCCTCAAACCTTGTGAGTTCTTATGTTTCAGTATGGTTCATGAACATATGATGTTTTGTTCTTTTTTGGCTTCCCATCTGGAGTCTTGCACCTGCATTAACACGCCGATCAATTCAAATTCGCGTCACATAAGACCCCATTAGAAGGGGAAGTTATGGTGAAATTCAGATTCGCGTCACATAAGACCCCATTAGAAGGGGAAGTTATGGTGGAATAGTTTGTTTTTGTTCTATTTAATTATGTTGTTCAAAATTCTTGTAAGTGAGACCTGATGAGGGTACGTATATCAACCGTAGTTATATAAATAAGATAATTTCAGTTAATCATCCAAATTCAGATGTTAATATTGCCTACATTCATCCACATATTTGTTAGTTCCCTTCTTATTACATTTCTTGATGACTGATTTTGATTTTGTCTATATATAATATTCATCAACCAGGATTCAACCTCACTAGCTAAAGTCATTATGAATCCTCCACTTGCCTTATCAAATTGACTTATTTTAGAAGTTTTCAAGTAAATTAGCTTATAAACGCTTGGATAAACTTTTAAAAACGCTTTAGAGACACTTTTTTCGAAGTTAAAATAACAAAAATAAGGTAATAAACTAAAAGTTAAAGATTCCAAACATGGGAAATGATATTTTTTGTAATATCAAGATTTATCACATCATGTCACCAAAAGAACTAACAACACCAAGATGACAAAAACATTATTTAATAATCCAACGACAGAAACAGTAATAAGAACAATCCAGCACTTTGTCCAACAGAACAAACATAACAAGACAATTGTTGCCACTAGGACACAGTACCATAAAAAGAAAAAGGTTGAGATAGCCATAGGCTATACTTATTTCCAACTAACAACCACAAAGTAGTCCAATGATAACAAATCCTTCTCCATGATCTTTACGCAAAATACTCTCAGAACTTCACACAAGGCAGATATGGAACTGCCAAGATATCTACCTGAACTGTGTATTGTAGAAAGTTGCTCATAATGACAAGTAGCAGAACTCTTTTTGTCGAGATCATTTATAAACCATGGTAGATTTACTGTTGCTTCTGCTCTAAACAGATATCCACCAAAGCCTGATCCCTCAGCCGTACAATTATCAATCCAACCAAGACAAGGTTTCTTAATTCAAAGCTCCCAAATTGCAACCTACTGACCTCGGTCTCTACTCAACCAGTTTGAATAGCTCGGCACAAGCTGCACCAACCAAACCCATGGTTAAGATGATAACAGAAAATTACTACATTTGTAAGCACAGGAAAACTTGACATAGAAATCTTCCGATAAATTGACACTGACAAGATGGAGGAAAAAGTCTAAGCAGACATTGGAATTGGGCAAGTTAAAACGCAGACAAGTGAAACATATTACGGAAGCACTGCTATTTTATCCCCAATTCCTCTAAGTTCAGAAGGAAAGAAATGCAGGCATCCAGACCTAACTATTCATTACCCAGACTCCCCGAGGAATAACAGGAAAACTGCCACTAGAAACCGGGCCAGTGTGAGACAACTGAGACATGGTATAGGCAAGTGTGTAGTACGTTATAATAAATACATGATCTTAGAAGAAAAGAAAGGGGGTGGAGAGGTGTCCAACAGAGATCTGTCCAGAAAGAACCAATCTTTTGTTTGTTTTGAGTATGTCCCGCATAATCAAGAGAGAGAAATGAAAAGGGGAGAGAGGGGAAAGATATGGAGCCATTAGCTCATGCATGACATGTGACCCATACTGCCTAATCATTGACATGCAGCTAATTGATAGCTGGAACATCTTCGTATGTATGGAAAGTTAGATGGAGGACCCTGTCTTATCCACTCAAGTATGATTGTTTTGGTCTTTTGGACTATAAGAACAATAACTCACCAGGTCAAGTAGTAACCAGAAGGGGGAGAGAAACAGGGAGATAAGGTAGTGGACGATACCTGCTCAATAGCAAGTGCCAGCAACTATCCAAGACCATTCATGCTGCAACAAAAACATAATAACCTTGGCCACTGCAATATGATGGTTGAACTTTGTAGCAACAGGCTAGTGGTCATTCTCTCCAGTAATTGTTAACCTGTACAGCATTGGGAAACTCAATTGAGAGAATGTATACTGTGGTATATTGAAGAACACAAAAATTTGTTTCAAGTAACTTCATAAATTAAAAGAATAAGTAAGATGCACTTCACCATCTAGTCTCCCTATCCACGTCACACAAAGAAACGATCTTGCCACAGGGACTGTCCTTGATACTGCTGAGGCAATCCAACAGATTGGTTATTTGCTTTCTGGATATCTGACTGCATGTGCAGAGAGGGCACCTGCTTCCCAGGGAAAGGAAAGCTAATCCCGACTAAGCTACTGTTGCTTACAGAGTGATATGGTTGAGCTGAATGATTGTCCGAGTTATTGTAAACAATGCTCTGATGTGCTGAAGGTAACTGATATCCATTCAACCAGCTATAATCATCCATACGAGGAATGGGGTTATTTTCATTTTTAAGCGTCAAGGCAAATGAAGAGTCATCTACTTTGGAAGAAACAGAACCAAACCCTGGAGGTGGACCCAGATGCCTACCAGGTCGGCACACTGGATTTTTCTTCATTCCTGTCGGAGTAATTGCTAAAGATTTCATTGACATGCTATCGGAAAAAGCTACGGAGGGTGCAAGTGAACTGAAGGTAGATGACATAGCAGCCTCAGGAACCTGGAAGTGAATATTATTTGCAGTGCTAAACTTCACAGACTGCGGCAAAGGAGCTGAATGTGCTGCTGCAGGTGACACCATTTCTGGATGATTTAGCAATTCAGCTTCTGTCGTTAGCCCATTTCCTGTCAAGCTCAAGCCACCCAATCCATTCATAAAAGCACCTTGCTCTACAGACCACATTGAAGTACTTGGTTGGATTGGCTGCATATACTGGGTATTGGTAAGAGAAATGCTTGTTGGCAGCCTTGTAGTACTCCAAGCATTCTGCAACCTCAATCCATCGAGTGCAGATGGAAATGGCCCCATCTCACAACATGTATCAACACACTCCATGCTAGCACCAGAAGAAGCATTGACAACACTAATACCAGATACAGGAACCGCTGAGGTCATAGTACTTGAAGAGATGTCATTAAATTTTTCCATCACTGATGGCTTAAAAACAATAACTTCGTCTTCTTCTTCACATTCCACATACAATTGCTGCTTCGGCAAAAGATCTCCAACAGTCAACTGTCCAGCATCTGGACTTTCCAGTTCAATACCACTTAATTTGGTAACTTCATTTAAGCCATTAAGTAGATAATTATCAGAAGTTTGAGGCTCAATACCAATGATAAATTTCTTTCCCCTGGTGTCAAAATATATTCCCTCTTCTCCAACCCGGACCACAGTAGCAAGAACCTTTCCAGCTGCAATCGTCCTCTGAAGACGGCACTTCTTCTCTTTACTTACACTATCACCACCAAAAGAACGTTTCCTTGAGAAGTCAAGGATAAGCTGTGCTGGAAGAAGAGGAACGAATCCTCTGAGTTCAAAGTCTTCCGGCAATGCAAGACGATTACCAGTCTCACCTTCATCATACCTGCTCATATTGAAAAAGCATGTTTCATCTTCATCTTCATCGACAAACTTAGACCCAGTTGACATTAGCTTATTAAAGAAACTGATACAGTTCTTCCAGAAAAAGGATCTAGCCCTAGCTTGTTTTTCCTCTGATTCATTACCAAGTGCAATATCTTGATGGCACGCCAACCATTCTACGAAAACCAAAATACCAGGCAATAAGAAGCTTGATGAGGGATCACTTAATTGGATACATCTCTCAACCACATGACCCATGAACTCAAAAGCAGCAGTAAATGCCTTCTGCAGAAGAACTGATCTTTGTAGAATCTCAGCATATGACTGATTATCACTTTCCCTAATCACATTATGGATGGTGAATATTAAGATGGCCACGAGCCTGACAATTGCCAGTCTACAGTCAGCAGCACTTGAACCAAAACTATACTTCTCATCAGACCCAGAAGAGAGAAGCTCAAGCAGATCACTCTTAACCATCGACAACACTTCATCAAAAGTCTCCAAGCTGAGTAAAGATGATAAGAAGATAGTGTCATTACTTAGTTATGTTATCATCAATATCATATTATTCATTAGACAGGAACATACCTAGTGCGCGTGAAGAGAATGCCATTCAACCGAACATACCCTGTGCTAAAGGTTTTGAAGATTTCAGATGTACTTGAAGCTTTTTCCTTTGGTAAACTTGCTTCAACCTTTCCATCTTTCAGAGACGGCCTCGTTTCATATTTACCTCGTCCTTTACCAGTTGTTCGGGAAGGAGTTACTTTGATAGACGAAGCCTTAGCATCCCCTGGCAGCTGGGAGAAAAATTGACGATTCTGCCATAACAGAGAAATCAATTAACACTAGGACCATCCACATAGCCCATTGCAACAGAACAGTCCAAACGGAAAGAAAACATGCCCAGAAAACTTCTACAAGAAAGTCACTTTTGGGCAGAACTTGAACACTTACAAAATATATACTAGATAATCACATCTTGATCACTCATTGACAAACCAAAGGAAAAAGGTGCAAATTGAAGTTCCACACTCCCAGCACAACTGAAAGATGGAAATCAAAGTTCCACTACAAGATCTCGAGAACTTCCTACAAATAGTATTTTAGGTGTATTTTGCTTTAAGAAATCAGTTCATAAT